TTTTAAAACAGCCAAGGAATCTTGGATTATGTACCCCTGGTTTAGGCGAGCTCATCTTAAAGCTAGCAGCAAGCTTAGATGATACACCAGATTCGCTGCACACTTCCCTGCTCAGAATTTAATTGCTTTTTAAAGTGGAAATGTTCTCTACGCACTGTTGCACATTGAGATGAGGTGAAAGGGCGGAAGTATGTACAAGTGTGTGCAAGCACTTATTTCCTATCGGACCAGGTTTGTTGTAGTCCTCCTAACATCACACAACCTGCACCTAGAATCCCCCCGGACCTCTTTTTTCCTTAGGTGTATATCAGTGCACCATACAACCTGTCATGTAGCCAACGCCATAATAAAAAATGAACTACAAATAATTTTTAATGGAAATGCCACTGCAGCTTGTTTGACAGGAACATGGCTGCCCCTCTTCCTTCCAGCCTGTCCATCAGCATTATGTTCACTCCAACTGCAACTCTGAAGTGAAAAGTAATTTACTGCTGATACAGTAGGTTACTGCTGAGTAAGCTGTGTTGAGATAAATATTCAGAGCTGATGTCTCACACTAATGACCTCATGTTTTCCCTGATTGCTAGAAGCAGAACCGTGAGGTTTCCAGATCATGAGGATGAAGAGGAAATAGGGAGAGTGTGTTAAAAATGATATTATAAAAAAAGAGGTGCTAGTAGTATTAATTGTCATCTTGGCCTGTGACAGTACATCACCTGTGTGCATGTCTTGATGTAATTTATCATTCATCACACTGTATATTACAGGTTTTCTTGTTTGATATTCCTCTCAGTGTCAGGCCCTCCAAAACACCCACAAAGTAGATCAAGCCACTTGACTTCATGCGAAGCCTTACTTAGGAAAGCTTAAGCATCAGTTTCTGTTTTACCACATTCACGTTTCTTCTTCATTTTTGTTCCATGCAGAAGTGATTTGGCTGTCAGATACAAGTCTGAACCCTGTAATTATCTAACAGCCAGAGCAATGTCCCTGTAATTCCTTTAAACCTCCCAAAATCCAAAGACATCCAGGGAGGTCCTCCTCTGTCAGGCAGAAGAACCAAAGCGACCCCCATCTTTCTCTCTATCACCCATACATGTTTTCATATTGATGGACACTTTACACGTTTGAAGCTGAGAGTTGAGTGTTTTAGGACTTTTAATGTAAAACTGATTTTACTTCATAAAAATGATTTAATTTGATTGACTAAATCCTTGACTCCTCATTGCTTCATTATCAAGTTGGTCATTTCTATAAGACACAGCAGAAGTCACGTTGTATTAAATAGTCACTTTATGTTAATTTCATGCAATAAGTAGTCTGATCTTTTGTAAATAGCCTTGCAGTAAAAGTAGGAGTAACTCAATGTAAAAATTTTATCTTACAGGTAGAAACCCTGCATTCAAATTCTTACTTAAATAAAAGCTATCAGCAAAACGTAAGAGTGTCAAACATAAAAAGTACTTACAGTCCTGACCAGAACAGTTACGCACATTTTGTTCTTCATAGAACAGTGAAAAAGAAAAAAAAAACCCTTAATGAACGCTCGGCAAGTCAAGAATGCTTGTCAGGATGTAGGTGTACATTTTCTTGTCAACCATGGAGAGACATTGACCACAGCCTCAGAAGATACACCACAAGATACAAACCCCTAGTAAGACTCAAACAGAAAGGCCAATCTGTGCAGTGGATGTCCATAGGGTCTGTCAATTGCCAGAAAAGCAACAGTTTTATTATAACGGATCAATCATATGATTCATTCAACATTTCATGGTTCATGTTTTTCAGACATGAGCATGTGCACACTAACCATGTCTTAACTTACAATAAATAAAATTATTTTGGGATTTGGAATAACAACAAAATGGGAAGATGTCATTTCAGGCTTTGGTGAAGTGTGATCAGCATTTCTCACTGTATATTGATATTTTAAGTTTTTAATTAGTAGTGACCACATTCATAATCAAACTGTAACTGCAATGCTCAGTGGGACCATTTTTATGCAATAATGTGTAAACTATCTGTCTGCAGCTACTGATTTTTATTATGGATTCTGTTTATTTTGATGAATCTTGATGTTTTTACTGAAAAAAACTGACCAACTGTTTGATGTATAAAATGTTAGAATATGTCCAAAACCTATTTAATGTTTGAAATTCTGGGACACAGACAAACAGAGAGAAGCTGCTATTCATGCACATTGCAAGCAAGAGCAGAATCATTTCATCAGCTTTCTCAAATTACTACTTTGCAGCAGTAATTGCAACAAAGATTTTGTTGGTTTTTGAAGTATAAGACAGTTAGATATAATATGCACATGCTTTAAACATGATGTAAAAATAGCACTGGCTCACTGGTTGGAAATCAGTCTTCTTGAAATGAACATCTGATCAGTCTAATTAATGTCTGAAATGTGTTACATAATAGTGTCCTGCTGCCTTACTGTGAAAGGCTACATTGAATTCTGGCCAAACAGATGGGGTCTGGCCATTGAAATAACCCTGAATCAATACGCAGTGGGCCAGATTTCCTGCTTTATCTGGGGAGCACTTTTACAATTATTCTTTTCTTCCTCTTTTCCCCTTGCTGCTGGTCTCTTACATTTTATACTGTGCAATATCCTTAATGAAAGGAAGTCCAAGAACATTCTACCAGATGTAAATAGTGAAAGAGCTTCATTCCTAAATGCTGTATATTGTTTTTGGAAATTAAAATATATCTTTCATCCTGAAATAAATATTAAAGGATCCAATCTAGCAAAGACTAATAACCAGACTTCAGTTACTTATCATGAAAAAGAACTTCTTTTATCTTTTGGTGTTTTAAAGAAGCCATTTTGGAACAATGAGATAATCACTGCACAATCGTTGGAAACATTTTGTATTTATTTATCGACTTTGCATTTAAATGTACAACAGAGAATAAAGTGCTTTTGAGTGTGTATGATCTCCCCACAGACATCATGTAGTGTGAGCCCTCTACTGGTCACTGTGGTTCCAGCTGTGTATTCCTGTTTATTCTTGTCTAAAGTAAATCAACACAAAGCAATTAGTGTAAAGACACCATAGAGCCCTCAGGGCCAGTGTGATGAGCAAGTCACGATGACAAAAAATACTGGCCTGTTTCTACAGTCTAGACGCCAGACTGACTAAGGTCCACGCACTTCACAAACAGTATCTATGATTTCATCATCATAATCATCATCAACCTTTATTTAAACAGGGGAAAACCAGTTAAAAGCAAGCTCTCATTTACAATAGTGTCCTAACATACGATTAACACCATCAAAACAATAATAAATATAGATAAAATCAACATTTAAAAAAATATTAAAAATACAGTATCCAGATTACCTGTCACACTCACATTTAAACTGTAAAGTATTATATAAAAGCAGTTTAAATTGAGAACATGGAATGAGAGTAGCCAGTTTTGTCTTTTTCTGCAAACTATTCCATTTTTGTGGGGCATAGTAACAGAAGGACATCGTTCCTACTTCTGCTTTGGCAAAAAAGGGTTGCAGAACAAGATAATCTTGTGAAAGGGTCTGGTACATTGATGATTTATAACTCAGGAGGCATGTAGGCATGTAATATGTATTATTGTTATTACTGTAAAACCTATTAAGTTTTATTGATAATTAACATTAAAATCCTATAGAACTAAGTATCTGATTGTTACTAAAAATGATAGTTTACATGTAAATATAGTTACACTGAATGACGCTGTCATTAACAAAGTCTCTGCCTATGAATATCTTGGCTTTTTGTTAGATGACAAGCTGAGTTTTAAATTGCACATTGTTTTGTTTAAGCCTAGACTTTCATTTCTGTATAGAAACTGATTTTGTTTTAGATTTTTTTCTGGAAATCTCTTTAGGACTTGCCATTGTGCATATAAATGCATAGTACTGCTATTTACTTTGGATCCTAGATTATTAATAAAAATAGTGAGTAAAGTAGAACCTAAAATGGATCCTTGTGGGACTCCTTTAAGAATACCCATAAAAATAGACTTAAAACAATCCACTACAAAAGCTTGTGATCTATCTACCAAATCATTTTTATACCAATTACTTGAGTTCTCATTTTCTAATTGAAGCGGACCCTTAAAAAGATTGTCACAGGCCACTGTGAATTGATCGCCATTTGTATGTTTTCAGTTTATACAAGTTAAAGCACGGACACACAGTATTTATTTTGACTTTTTTTTTTGCAGATGTGATCATTTATGTTTATTAATGAAGCGTAATATTGAAGCCAGAGCAGTATAATGAGAAATGTTTTAGCAAAACAAATCATGATACATGAATAAATGTACAGTCTTGGGGATTCTTTAATTATTAGCTTTCCCAATTAAGGCAAAAGAGATACACATCAGCCTACCATGTTGCTCTAAAGGCCAACTGGCAGGTGGTAAATAAGGACAGAGGCATCACTGATTACAATAATGTTACATTTATTATTGTGCTAACTACTTACGGAATAAAATAGCAAAAATATATATAATACATTAATGCACAGATAATTCATGGAGCCTACCTAAATGTCTCAGCATTGTGTAGTGTGATTTAACCTTATCTCCGGAGGAGGGGTAGTGCGCATGCGCTTCAGATCTCCGAAACACACGCTTTGGATCAACACTGTGTCTTCTTCCGGAGACACCAAACCTAAGAGAGGAAGTACAGCAGATTTTCTTTCACATTAAAGCCTAACAACTTTCATAAATTAAGAGTGCTGTAAGAGGAAAATTAAGATGTCAAAATTGATAATTTACTCTACAAATATGAGAATGCGACTGTTAATGATTAGCAGCTTTAAAATTGGCAGAAAATTGATTAATCTGAATGCAAATGGTAGATTAGGCTGGAAACACCTCTTTCTTCATCTTGTGTTTTAATAACATCGCTACATTCTTGTGCTTATTTTGACCCTAGTAGCCTATTGCTCATTAAGACGTTGGTCAGCGCGCTTTGTTTAGAAAACGTAACCGGATGTCGCTTATGTCACTGTTCCTAACTTGACCGCGCTCTCGACCACGTCGTGTCTCCATCCCCGGCTGCGGAGCGTCAGAGCGCTGGTCCTCCTCTGTGTCGGGAAGGCGTGTGGTAGGCTACACTGGCACGGATTGACTAAACGCTGCTCCTGTGTTATTTGCAGAATCCATCTCCCAGAAGCATCCAGAGCTCCCCGGCTCAGAGGCAACATGGGTTAGAAACAAGGCGAGCGACTTTGTGCACTTAAGCCAGAATGATGGAGGGGGAAACGGACTTGTTTTCACAGAGACATCCTGATAAAGACAGAGACTGAGTAGAGATCGGGAATCGCTGCCTCTCTGTCTCGTTTACCATCTTTCTCCTTTGATTAAGCTATTTTTCCTGTTTTGTTTAGTTTTTTATTTTGCCCCGCGTGTGTGCACAATAGAGATGCTTGCAGAACTGCTGTGCGGCGCCGTGGCTCTGGTCCTGTATGTCAACACTCTGGACGCCGATTTCTGCTACGATGACAGGTACTTTGCTAAATGAATGGCATCCAGTCATGTGTTACTAACTTCACTATCCCCGCCGTATGTCTTTACCTGTACCCTATCAGTCCAGGAGAACAGTGAAGGAACAACGATAGGCTTCACTCATTGTGTTGCCCTAACTCTGAGCAGTGTTAATGCACCAACACCGCTGAGCGCGTGCACTCAGACAACAAGCGGTCCGCCTGTAGGCATGTATCACTTCATCAATAGGGTATGGTGCTTAGAAGAGCTACCCAGTGATTCCAGGTGTTTGTGTTTGTCTGTGCACTCCTTTCTCTTGCAGACACTTGGTTTAGTGAGTTTCTAAAGACCTGTATCTGCTAGTACTTTAACATTTTTAGTGGCATTACCTTCATATTCCAGCAGCTTCCTTTTGGTAAGAGGGTGACTACAGTTTTCCAGAGGATGAACAGTAAAATCAGAAGTAAGTAGGCTGCATGCATGGATACCCCAGTGTTGAGTGTTGCAGCCTCCAGAGCCTGGACTTGTTCGAAGTGCTGACTTGTGCTGAGGAATTAATTGATCTCTGGAGAAGCCCCTTTGCCAAACTCGACCGGTTTTGCCAGATACTGAAACTTTGAACAAAGTATTTTATTTTTAACTTACTTAAAAATTGGGAGTAGGCTGCCATCCTCTGCTCTCAGGCATCAGCGTGAGTTCAGCCAGCAGGGTAACACTGTGCATTACTCATAGCTGGCCTTTTCATACTTGATGGCTGAATAGTTTCCCGTGCCATAGACTCATCTATGTATCATCCATGATGTACGGTAGGTCGGAGGCATCTCGATTCCCAGCCGTCATTATATCATCTTCCTGCCACTTTACAGCTAATACAGTTGATTAATGATGAGCTAATGTTTACAGATATTAGGATAAAATGCATCTGCTCTGAAGAGAACACTGTGCAGATCATCTATATCTGCTTTGTTCTAGCAGTTTGTGTATTTATGACAGGTGCTGTGTGACTATTAAAACACACCCAGAGGACACAGCTTAGTGAGCAAACATTACACGCACACCCTCCACATCAACCAGTGGTGAATTTCCTCTACAACTCCGCTTACTGCTTTGTATATGGAACGCTTCCTGCTTAGCACATTCCCTGAGGCCTTCTTGGTGAAAGTCAGAGACTTTTCTCTTGGTAGAGTTTCTATGCATGTGCACTTGCACTCAGCGCAGGTGATAAAGGTGACAACTGTGCAAGAAAGATGGTGTTCTGTGTCTATAAAGCTGTCAGGGAGTGGCAGCGCAGTGGAGAGGCTGCTGCTGCACAGTCACCCGCTGTGCGGCTGCTGGAGAGCCTCGGGTCTCCAGGTTTTAATGTAAAACAGAAAGCCAAACCCTGATTATTTTGTGACAAGATGTTAACATAATGTTATTTATTAGCTTGTGGGTTTAGGTCCAAGTTATTGCAGGCTTCTTACGAAATGACAGAAGCATCCCATCCTAAAAGATTTCCTCTGACGTGATCTGTGTCTGACATGTTTCATTAGAAGCTATCGGTCATCCACTGTTATTTGCTTTTAACACCGTGGGTTTGGATCAGGCTCGCAATTAGCAGCTGTCTCCTGTCCTCTCAGGCTCTACTGGGAGGGTTAGGGAGATAGAGGAAGGGTGGGTGCGACAGAGATATACTGTGTAACCCGGCTAAGTGAAACAGCCCTGGACGCACAGACTGATCTGTGCTTGTGTAGAAGAAAAGGCTGATGTTACTTGTAAAGAAGTTGTCATCATAGATAATGCCAAAATAATGAAGAACACCATTACCTAGCAACCTGCAACCTGTAGACTGAATTTATTTTAACTGTGTATCTGGCAAGTAATGTTTTTCATAAAGTGAAAGGACATCAGTATTACAGTGTTGCAAACCTGCAAAGTGGGCCTCCTGCTCAAAAATAAAACTATAGTTGATGTATTCTTCATGTGAATTTGAAAAGAAACTATGTGCCTCCCATTGAATGTTTATGATAAATAGTTGCAGATGAATTATATATGAATATTTTGTCACAGTGCAACATCGATTCCTCTCTGTGAAAAGACAGATGGTGCTTCTGTTTCACTTCTAGATGGGAAACCAGTGCACTGACTTAACTTTGCTAGTGATTAAAAGTTAGGATCCAAAATCGTGGTTTGTGCCTGGGGCTGTGCAAAACGGCTAAAGGCTAAAGAGCTACAGACACCTGAGGGTTTGCAGTTGGAGGTGCTGAGTGTGGAATACGTTATGATGTTTCTTCCTGTGTGTTTTTGTCAGGGTTAAAGGAATGGTCATGAAAAAAATATCTAAGGCGCTGTGTGTTTTAATCACGTACTTCTTCTCAGAAGTGTGCTCAGTGGTTACACATTAATGAGAGCAAACTAATGCGTTCAATTATATTAATCAAGGCCACCAGGAGGGCACAGTTAAAGGAAAAAACAGTTTACATGTGTTATAATCACATGCAAGGCACTTTTCTGCAGTCAGTCACAGCCCCTCCCTGCAGCTCCACGGTGCCAAATCACCCCAGGGAGCTTTTCCCCTCCTTTTCTTGGACACACTCATCATTAGCACATACACAGCTTCGACACCTACACTGGAAAATGGGAATCATACGTCATGTAGTTCATATCTCTGTGGCTGTAATCTACAGTTCAGAGGAGAAATACTGGTGCAATATTCTGGGACTTGCTGCAGTAGAACAGCAAACACTGGTGAAGGACGTAGTGCATTTTTAGCTTGATTTCAAGTGTGTCACACTCCTTAGTTTCTGGATTCATAGAGTTTTAGTGCCAAAGGTCAACCAATGTGAAAATAGTAGCAGTGAAGTGAACAACTCAGCCATTTTGTTCCATTTAGCAGTTGAAAACATTTTGTTTTTAGAATATATTTCAGCTCAACCCATGCACACACACTTTATGGATTATTGGTCCCTGTCAGGAGCTTGATAGATGTGATGAACTGCACCCACCTCATTTCTCTGCCCTTGTGAGATGTCTTAAGGTTTCAGTGTGTGTGAAGGTTGTGAGTCACGTTGAAGGACGCAGCCTCCCTGGGCATGGGCGATGATTTATAATGCTCAGACAGTTGGTAAAGGGGAGTCGCCGCTCTGTTTCCTGTCCTGAAAGCTTTATTATTGAAGAAGTCTTGATCTGAGGCCGAACCAAAACACTTCACACTGATGCGGTTTGATGTGAGTCGATGATGGCAAAGAAGCCACACAGCGCTTTGGGATGTGACTGATGTTGTTTTATGATCATACCAGGGTTGCAGTGGTGTGCCAGTTCCATGGTATATCATGGTATGAAAAGTTATCATTTCATACCCATTTGCTTATGACCGGTACAGAAGAAAAAAATGCAGTGCGTGTGCACCTCTCTTGCCTGATGCCTGTCAGACTCCGCAACGGGTGCTACACACGCACATGAAGCGGAAAGAAGGAAGCTGAAAGCCCGTCACCAAATTCCATCCAGTTAAAAAGAAATTAAAATCAGCAGCGCAGGATTACTTTGGATATCTCAGAAATGAACACCTTCGAGAACACCATCCCTCAGCATCACATTGCACCATTGCAACCCTACATCATATCAAATAAAAAAAAAGAAAACAAACCTGAAATCATCCTATATTTATTTTGAATGGATTTTAACCAGTTTTTATTATGTAACACAGTATGTGACTTCACAGACAGACAGACAAAAGCTAGACTGTGTACTTCATAAAAATCCACACACTTTGTCTTGGTTTCATCATGTCCAGCAAGTTTATGTCTAACCTTCAGAGAGCTTTTGTTGAAACCTCTGTGTGGTCCCTGTGAGGTGGAGCCCAGTCTGTGTTGGCTTACCTGGCCTGCCATGGACTGCTGGCACAGTGTGTCAGTGCACTGATCTGGAACCCTGCTATCATGGCCTATACTGTAAAATGGGCTGGTTAGCCTTGTGGTTATGTTGAGGACCCAAGGGCGGTAACCTAGCAGTCCCAGTATCTTCGCTTATTTCTCCGTCAGACTTTTTTCTGCCTGCTCCCTGTAATTACTGTCGTGTCTGCAGAGAGGGGACTCACGACATGGTTTGGTAGCCGGTCCACCGTTTCTCCTTCTCTCTTGGTCTCTTTTTCTTTTTCTGCCCTCCCTACAGCTAACCCCCAAACCCTTTTAGGCCTCCAGCTCCTATCATCCTGCGACTGCCTCCAGATGGTCCTGTTTGGTAACCAGTTTAGGGTTTTTCTCCTCTCTGCAGTTTGAAGAAATGGATTCAAATGGATGATGTTATGTTTGCTTGTAGTTGCCAGGATGGATAAATCAAAGTTCCCGATGATTAAAGTGGCTCTAATGAAGTGTCTAAAATGACTATATGTAATGTGATATCACCCACTATGCAGTATACCCCGGCTCTATAGAACTTTATAGCATCTTTCAGCTGTTTTGGTTGTTGCACTGCAACTTTACTGCTGTGGTTTGTGCCACTCTTTTGGCTACGGCAGGCAAACAACCTATGCTAGTAGCTAGCTATATTGAAGACAGTGGTAAATGCACACATTCTTCCTTTGGGAGTTGGAGGAGAGCAAAGCAGAGCTAAAAGGAGAGTGAATATTTGACTTACATTTGGTGGCCAAACACACACAACTCCAAATGAATTCTAATGTTGCTCTCTATCTGTGTTTTCATATGGTTTTATTTGATTTATATGTTTATGTTTTAATGTTTCGTCAGGGCGTCATTGAGAATGAGAGCTTGCTCTCAACTGGCCTTTTCCCTGAATAAATAAAGGTGATGATGATGACGATGATGATGATGAATGGATCTGTTGTCTAGTTGATTAAGCTTGGATGCTCTTGCATTTCCTCCCTCAAACCAATAGGGAGTACAATCTGTTGGCAGGAAAGGAACGAGATATGTTAAAGGCATCCTGCCAAAATGTGTTGGCCCCACACTCTGCCTGGTAGATCTTCCCAGGTTAATAAAGGAGGGGGTGTTTGTGAGCAGTTTTCATAGATTATACACAATTGC